TGTACACACACATACACACACACAAAAAAAGAAGAAGTGAAAAGTGAAAATGTTAGCTTATAACTCATTCATTCCAACCCCGCCCTCAAAAAAATTCAAACACGATATAAAAGTTCAAAGAACACTAACTCATAGTAAAATTTATATTTTTTACGAGATTTGTCTAATTTATATGTCATTGATTTGTTTTAAATCACCAATAGGCTGGCGGAGAAGGATCTCTTACCAAAGATCGTAAGTATTTTTTCCACTTTCTTTTTGTATCATTATCTTTGAAAAAAAATTGTAGTCCGATATGGATCTAATTAACAGTGTATGAATGTCATGTTTGTAGAATGCCCTGCTGCATGCTAAAAAAAATTCTAAAAATCAAACCATACATAACCTAAGAATCTTTTAATAAGTCATTTCTTACATTGGTAACTTATTTAATTATTTGTTAATTTATGACATTTTTACCATCTGAAGCCTGTTTGGTAACCATTTCGTTTTCAATTTTCAATTTATATTTACAAAAATTTTAAAAACTGTCATAAAAGCTTGTTTAATAATTTTTTTTGGTTTATAAATGGTTGGCTTAGTTTGTAAATTTGAAGAAAAAACATAAATTCAAAAAATGAGTTTACGTTAGTTTTTAAACATAAATTTAAAAATTTTACTAACAAAATTTTTTTTCAATTAATTTTTTTTAATGAATTTTTTTTCTAACTAATACTAACCAATGTGACAATTGGTAATGCTGCTTTAAACCTTAGAGAGGGGATTGTAATTTCTAAAATGTGAGGGGTGTCACTGTAATTTACCCAATGAGGGCAAAATCGGTATTTAAAAAAATTAAATTGCTGAGGGAAGAATCTGTAATGAAACTTTAAATCTCAAGGGGGAGATGTACTTTCCAAATGGTGAGGGAGGAACTATAATAAACATAAATCTCAGGTGGTGTTAGTGTAATTTACACTAAAAAAATTCTTAAATTATAATCAGAATAACAATAAATCATAAATCATAACTACAGACACAGGTATATACGGTACACACACATAATTTCCCATGTAAACCTTCACTTTTTGGCTTTTTAATTATTTTAGCTTAGGCTAAAAAGTTTTGTTTGGAATAAGTTTTTTGGATTTTTATTTTTATTTTTATTTTTATAAGAAAAAAAATAAAATGATTATGATTTGAACATGATATTTTATTTTATTTATTTTTTAATATATTTTATCTTTTTATGATTATTTTAACCCTAACCCATTGCACCATACTTAGCCTATAGATAAAAAGGAAAATACTTGGTCCACCAAAAGAAAAATGCTTGGAAACACTAAGGATATAACAGTAAATCCCGCTCACTTTTTATACTTTTTTTTTTTTATAATTATTTTTAATGCATTAGTATTATTAATGGTGTATTTTTTAATAACTTAAATCATTGTTGTCCACGAAAATAGAGGCGGCCTGATTTCGCCTGAAATGATGTGATGGGATGACCGGCGTGACCTTTGTCTACTGTGGTGGTCACAGTAGACAAAGTCGGTATTTTTGGAGGATCGAATCACAAATTCAAACAATTGAGAGGAGAGCAAAGTCGGTAGACGTTACATTACCAATATACAAATGAATTGTGACATAGGAGACCTCTAAAGTCTACTGATCAGTCTTTCCTGGAAACCTTCGCTCATATTCACATTATACCCATCCACTTTTCCTGGCCATCGTCTTCTTTGGATTCGTCATGAGCAGCACTGAATTTCCAATCAAAGAAGCCAGCGTTCATGAAATCCAGATCGCTTTCAAGCAAAACAAACTCACTTCTCGACAACTCGTCGAGTTCTACCTTACCCAAATTGAATCACTCAACCCAGTTCTCAGATCAGTCATTGAAGTAAACCCAGAAGCTCTTTTCCTCGCAGACGAGGCTGATCGAGAGCGAAACACCAAGTCACCCATTTCACAGTCGTCTTTGTTGCACGGTATTCCCATTCTGTTGAAGGACAACATTGCAACCAAAGACAAGCTCAATACCACAGCTGGGTCGGATGCGCTGCTGGGTTCGGTGGTGGCTCGGGACGCAGGAGTGGTGGGTAAGCTGAGGAAAGCAGGTGCGATCGTATTGGGGAAGGCGAGCGTGACTGAGTGGGCTGCTTTCAGGTCGAAGCAGCAGCCTAATGGGTGGTGCGCTAGAGCTGGCCAGGCTGTGGTAAGTAATTTTGCCAATTTGTGTTCTCTCTCTAAGTCCCAATTAGTCTCCAGCTACATGTAATCCCCTTTACGGTAAGCCTAGTAGGGTAGTCGTTTGTGTACAGACTTAAAAATTTCATATGTTTAAAAATGTGTTTAAATTTATCTTGTTTACCTTTTAAAATGATTTCAAACAAGTTTTAATTGAGCGAGGTAAGGTTCTTGATTTTTTATAATGCATATATAAGCCTTTGTTTGGAAGTTGGTTATTTGACTTTTCAGTTATTTTAGCCTGGCTAAAATAGTTATGTCTAGAAAATTAGTTGGGTTTTTTTTTTTTTGCCAGTTGATTTGATAGTTGTGAGAAAAATGTGAAATAATTATGAATTTGATATAACATTTTTTCTTATTTATTATTTTAAACTATTTTGTCTTTTAATAAATTAGTTTAACCCAACTCTTTTCCCAAACACTCTCATAATAGGATCAAGTTGAATAGTAAGTTGTTCACGTTTGGCTTGAAAGCTTAAAAAAGTTTTAAAATGTATTCAAGTTTGGCCTGTTTAAGTTTTTAATAAACCAAATACAAATTGAGTTTGACTAGATTGGTTTCTTTTACAATCTTGTCTCATAATTAATGGGTATAACATAGGTCGGATAGGGGGAATGATGTAGATCAAATTTAAGAAAAAAATAAATTTTTTTATTTTATTATTTTGAAATTAATAGTTGATTAGGAATTTTATAATTTAGTATAAAATATTACAGAATTATTTAGTTATTCGTTTTCTAATTTGATATGATGCAATTTTCTTACTTTTTTAGTTTTGATTTTATTTCTTATTTTATTAGTTTCTTGTTTAACAAGAATTAGGTTTATTATAGATAAAGATTCTTAGGGAAAAGAAAGTGTTGTATAATTAATATATCTCAAGTTTTATACTCTTTTGTTCCAACTTTGGGTATTCTTTGTGAATCAACCATTGTTGAGCTTTTATTCTCGGTATTCTTTGTAAATCAACGAGTCTAGAAAAGAATCTTACTTTCGGTTTTCTTGTTTGAATCAACGGATTATAAGATTGTCATTATTTCACGTTTCGCGCTGCATCAGTTGGTATCAAAGCTTAGGCTACATTCTTGCAATCATGCCACTAAGGATAAATGAAGTTTTTGAGGCTAAGAAAGAACGGATGCAGCAACAAATTGATGTTCTAACCAAACAGATTACAATCTTGTCCATTGCCATGCAGAAACAACGACAACGACGACAGCTGAAACTTTGTAATTCATGTTTTGTCAAAGATGATGAGGTAATTGATGATGATCTTACTCTGTTGAGTTTTCATAACAAAAGACCAAGGAAAATCCATGTGTTAAAAAATTCTAAAGATAAAAAAAAAGGGCATTTATGAATTTGGATTCCTTTTCTTTCAACTCACAAGTTAATTGGGATTTTCCTCCCTCATATGACAAGTATCATAAAGAAGTCATAGAAGAAATTATAGTTTTTGATCAGCAAAAGAATTATTGATAAAGAAACAAAGACAAGTGAAATCTTACATCAATAAAAAAGCAATGCATCGAGTATCATAGCTAAACTTAACAATCCCAACTAGGTTGGCACCAGAGAGCTAGCTCAATCATATGCTAGCACGAACCCAAGATTGGTGAGAGACCAATCACAAACAGCCAAAAACAAATAGAAATAGTGTAAACATAATAACATCAAGGCTAGTTACACCCCACAACTACAGTAGCACACCCAATGCCCAAGACAAATTCTGTAGTAACCATAAAAAAACTCCACGCTACCCCTAGCTACACACACTAACAGACCACCATAGCAGCTCACCCCCTAAGCTACTAGATGAACTTTCTTACCAGTTGAATATGCTTACAATGTTACCAACAGAATAAGAACAACCAGAATAAAATGTTTTCAACCACAGTGCTAATCGAACTTTAATTAGCTCACATAACTCCTCCAAAATTGGTAGCTTGTTAGAAAAAATACATTCATTTCTGCACTTCCACACAGACCATACCACAGCTGAGGGGATAGCTCTCCAAATCAGCCTTTCTTTCTTTCTGAAATTCCAGCTCATCCACCATTGAAATAGACAGTCAACTGATCATGGAGTTGCCCAAGATAGCCCCCACCAGTCAATTATGCATGGCCAAATTTGCCATACATAGGGACAGAGCAACACCGAATGATTTACTGATTCCATTTCTAATTTGCAGAATACACAAGATAAGTCCACACTACTCCTCAATACACCAATTCTATTTAGATAATCTGTTGTTTTAAGTCTGCCTTTACATGCCAATCAAGTAAAAAATTTGGCTTTGGGTTGTAGAAAATTATTCCATATCTCAAAGTAGGCCCAGATTCTAGATCACACCATTTTTAAGCATTGCTTACCTTGAAATCTCCTACTTGATCAACCTTCCATCTCACATGGTCCTTTATATCCATAACCTTGGCCCAACACCCAACCTATCAGTAAGCCTTACCACTTTCTTCCTCCCAAGCATGAAGATTTCTTCTAAAATTAAAACACAACCTATTTGAGCTAACCTTTCTTGAGATCAGCACACACAATGACACCTCTTTCTCTGTACTCAACTGATACAATCTAGGAAATTGAGCACACAGACTAGAGTCCCCGAACCAATTATCAACCCAGAACTGTACTCTTCTACCATTCTCTACTCTGAGTTCCATATTTTCCATAAAGAATGTAAGTAGTCCTGGGTTAGATTGTGCCACATCCAGAATGTCCCTCCAAATCTTTGAAGTGAAACTTGCTGCATTAGATGATGGCAGCCACCTCCCACCTGTGAATCCATACTTGCTACACACAATTGATTTCCAGAGTGCATCATCTTCCACAGCATACTTCCACCACCATTTGAGTAACATGCACTGATTTGTAAGTCTAATGTCTCTAATCCAAGACCCCCTTTTTGTTTATTCATTGTAATCTCTTTCCATTTGACTAGGTGGATTTTCCTCCTAATTTTTGTACCTCCCCACAGAAAATTTGCTTGCAGCCTATCAAGTTCCTTAGCAAGTGGGACATAGGAGATTTCCTCAAAGATATAGAGGACGGAATTGAAATTGATCTAGAAGGTACTATGATTCACAAAATATTTAGTGAGGAAGAATTTGATGAGATATTATTAGATATAAATACTTTATTTTCGGAATCACAAGTTGATTGGAATTTACTTCCGAAATTTGATGAATATTTAGTGGAGCAGGAGATTGAAATTCATGAAGTCAAAGAAAAATTTAGACATTGTGAATATGCTCTAAATTATGGTTGTGGGTATGAGATTTTGCAAATTAGTGACGCAATCGAATTAAGGAAAAATGATCAAGTGGAAGAACTAAAAAAAGACAGTAATGGGGTCATATTGCTCATGTCTAGCAAAGAGGACAAAAATTCATTACAAGATGGATTTGATCAAAAACGAAAACCTGTTCAAGTAGAGTTAGGAATGGACTTATTCCAACAAAACTATAATCCATGGAGTTTTCATTACAGTCCATTTGAAGATCAATTGCTTGAAGATGCGAAGTGAAATTTCTTTAGTCAGAATTTGTACTACAAAGAAGATGGGTTAAATTTAATGAAGAAAATTATTTATTTAATTTCGGAAGATTCTCGTTTAAAATTCAGATTTGAGAAAGTTAATCTCAAGTATAAAGTGGATGTGGACAAGTATAGACATGGCAAATTAACTCAAACAATGGAAATTCGATGACGAGTTTTTTCAAGCAGGGAGGAATGATGCAGGCCAAATTTTTAAAAAATAAATATTTTTATTTTATTATTTTGAAATTAATAGTTGATTAGGAAATTTCTAATTTAGCATATAATATTATAAAATTATTTAGTTATTTAGTTTCCTAATTTGATATGATGCAATTTTCTTATTTTATTAGTTTTGATTGTATTTATTATTTTATTGGTTTCTTGTTTAACAAGAATTAGATTTATTATAAATAAAGATGTAAGTCTTAGGGCAAAGAAAGTTTTGGATGATTAATATATTTCAAGTTTTATAACGTTGCCTATTCTTTGTGAACCAACCATTGTTGAGCCTTTATTCTCGGTATTCTTTGTGAATCAACGAGTCTAGAAAGGAATCTTACTTCTGATATTCTTGTTTGAATCAACGGATTCTAAGATTGTCACTATTTCGCGTTTCGCGATGCATCAACGCACTAAGAGAGTCAAACGCTTCATGAGATCATGACCTATTCTTTCTAAGGCCCATTTTTGTGTATTGATATCTTGAGAGTAGTTCCGCCAACACTAACCAAATATAATTTAGATGTATTGAAGATCATTGAAATGGAAGGGCAAACTATTGAATTGTGATATGATGCTTGCGGATTGATGCAGAATCCATATGTGAAATCTGCAGACCCAGGTGGATCAAGCACAGGATCATCAGTATCAGTAGCAGCAAATATGGTTACAGTATCACTTGGTACAGAGACGGCCGGGTCCATCTTATGTCCATCCAGTTTTAACTCGGTTGTTGGGATCAAACCCACAGTAGGCCTCACCAGCCGGGGAGGGGTCGTCCCAATCTCAACTAGACAAGACACAGTTGGGTATGTGATGCTTCGCAATATGCAGTGTTGTTAGTATTTCATTGTGTACATTTTGAGAATTTTTTTGTGTTTGTAGATTGAAACCCAAATTGTAACTTCGACCATGTTGGACATGGCAGGCCAATCTGCAGGACAGTATCAGATGCTGTTTATGTGCTTGACGCCATCGTGGGTTTCGATCCTTATGATGCTGTGGCAACTAGAAAAGCTTCAAAGTACATCCCACATGGTGGCTACGTGCAATTTCTCAAGGCTGATGGGCTCAGGGGAAAGAGGTTAGGGATAACAAGCTATCGTTTCTTCGGTTTCCCCAACAACTCCGAAAATTCTCATGCTTTTGAGCTGCATTTCAACACATTAAGGTAAGCATTACATCATGAGTCTTTATTTGCTGCCATTGTCTAGCTTTGGTTACTCCAAGGACAATTTTAATCCTGAAATTACACCCCAAAATCTGGTGAAACGTTAGGCACAAAGGTGCAACTTTGGTAGATGGTATGGTCATACCCAACTTCAATGCCATCATCAACTCCGTGTTCAATGATCAAGACATAGCGTTGCTAGCTGAGTTCAAGTTGTCTCTAAATGCTTATCTAAAAGACCTACTCACTTCTCCGGGGCGATCATTAGCTGATGCAATAGCCTTCAACAAGAAATTTTCGGATTTGGTACGTACGACCATCTCTTTCCAACATTTTAGCAATTTTGAGCAAATGAGTAGGTCCTCTGTACTATGAACACTGTTAATTAGGTTAATTTATGCTAAGCTGTGATCGGATAAGAAAGAGATACTGGTATAAGATATTGGTCAGTTCAACCAAATACAGATTCCCTTTTCTCTTTCTACCACCTCTTTTCAAGCCTAAGCGTCTAACTTGTGTGAAGTCACTCTTTAACTAAAGATTGTTGAGGAGAAATTGGCATAAGATACTAATTGACTTGACATGTTTTGGGATTTTGTGTATTTGATTTATATTCACCTATGGAGAAATTGGCATAAGATACTAATTGACTTGACATGTTTTGGTTTTAGTGTATTTGATTTATATTCACTTATTTCTTTTACAAGTAGTGATTAGGTTAGTATATTAATTTACCACTTATAATTTGATATAAACAATCCAAATGTTGCTTCAACAAGATTAATCATACACAATTTGGTGGCTCTGCAGGAAAAAATTTATGACTGATAGAAATATAAACTCCTTTGTTAGCATGAATTACGTACACAATTGAGGATCACCATCAGTACAAGATTAATCATACATGGTTTGGTGGCTCTGCAGGAAAAAATTGGCGAATATGGGCAAGACTTGTTTTTGGAAGCAGAGAAAACAAATGGGATGGGTGAATTGGAAAAGAAAACGCTGCGAAATTTAATGGAAGCATCAAAAAATGGACTTCAGAAGTTGATGAAAGATAATATGTTGGATGCACTGGTGACACCCTTGTCATATGATTTCCTACATGTTTCTGGAGTGCTTGCAATTGGGGGATTCCCAGGAATTAGCGTTCCAGCTGGGTACGATCACGATGGGAGGCCGTTTGGTATTTGTTTTGGAGGATTAAAGGGTTTTGAGCCTAAACTCATTGAAATCGCATATAGTTTCGAGCAGGCCACGAAGATTAGGAAGCCACCTTCTTTGGGACCTTGAACTTTAGTGTGTGCTAATTAGCTGATACATTATTGGTACCAGAAATGGTTCTGGTGAACACCCATATTGTTATACTTGCAGGAAATGTACAAGTGAATGCAGCACAATATTATTAAGTGCTTTGCCTACAAACAAGAATTGAATAACATAAGATCTGCAGTTTCTATCCTTCAATATAAATTGCCAAAAAAAGTTTATTACCAATTCAAGTGAGGCCAAAGCTTAATTTTCCACGATATGTTTTTATTGGATGTGTGTCTCGTATTCTGCGGTCTTATAAAATTATTGTTTTCTTACATGTATTTGGGTTGGGTTTAGAGTCTGAAATCCATCAGAATCCATTCTATATAGGGCTTTATTAATTGTGTAAGACTATTCTATGATTTGCTAGGATTGGTATAGATATAGGGAAGATAGAAAAATACAGGAGGCACCGAGTGTGAGTGGGGAAAGCAGGGTTTGCTTCAGGTTCAGTTACCTTTGGGAGGACGGAAATTGTTTTAGCATGCGTTTGGTTAAGAAATTTAAGGAGGGATTTGAAAAGGAAAAAAGAAAAAATGTATGAAACTAGATGAAATGTAAGGTTATTTTATTTACATTTTACTCACCTTTTTCTTTTTTAAATTTCTTCTCAAATCCTATAACTAAACCCTGCAGCTCAGGTACTGATGCTGAATTATTGGATATTTTTTGTCTCATGGTTGTACTCTTTATTGAATATACTGCGGGCTTAATACTATTCAAATCACAATGAAAGACAGAGAAGTGGCTAGTAGGAGGACGCTTAGTAATTTTCAATTTGATTTAAGTTGGGTTTGAAGTATAGATTTAGGTAGAAATTTAAAAAGAAAAAATAAAAAAGTATTTAAAATATAGATAAAATAAATCTATATTTCATTTACATTTTATTTATATATATATATATATATATTTTCCTTTTCAAATCCCTATTTTGGAATCTAAGCATATTTATAAGATCAAATAACATGAATGAGTCATGCACATGCACCAAGATACTCATGAGTCAGGACCATTCATTTATATACATGAACATCTCACAAGAATCTTTAAGCCATGTTTGTTTGGGTGGACATGAGATTGAAATTGGACTAATAGTCCAATAAAATTATTAATCCGATGTTTGGTTAAACAATTGAAGTATAGACTAACAATTCGTCCGGATATGATATCTCACATATGATAGACTATTCAATCTCACTGGGATAGGTGAGATATAAATTGAAGGACTAAGTCAAAGTTTGGATTATTAGTCCCTCCTTATAATCCTAACTCAATCCAAACATAGGATAGAATACACAATCCAAAGGGATTCGTAATCCTAGTACTATTAATCATGAGAATGCTAATCCAACCTAATCCAGTCCGCCCAAACAAACATGGCCTTAGTTACATGCATGCGCACCTCACAAGACTCTTTTATGACATACATCTACATGAATATGAACCACCCCATACCACATTTTATGACATTCCACGTTTTATTTAACGTAAATTACATTCATTTTTTTTTTAAATTTAAAAAAAAAAATACAATTAGCCTTACACTTATAAAATAATTACACTAATCTTCTTTTACGTATAGTTAAAATAACTAAAACTAATACTAATGGTACATAAATATTAAAATAAATAAAAATAAATATAAATTTTAATAAGAAATATATGATAGTATCTTCTTCTTCTTTTTTCATTCATATAATTAATTAATTATAGATGAAAAATGACTTTAGTATTATGTGAATTAAAATTTCAAAGAAAGTCGGTATAATTATTTCAAAAATATGAGATAAATAGTAGTTTTTCCAAATATTAAGAATGATACGAAATTGGGAGAAAAACTGATGGAAAAATTGAAGTACTTTATTCACTGTAATCAGCTACTTAAATAGTAGAGTACATGAACTAACACAGCAACAAATAAGGAACTAACTGACCATTAAATCCCTAATTTTAAAAGAAATTAGGTGAGTATAATAATCACATGATTAGTGTACTCTTTGGCCTTGTTTAATTAATAAAATTAATAGTAAAAAGATTAATAATTTCATAAATTAGTATATAATTAGTTATTTAATTAAATTAGTGAGATAACTGTTTATTATGTATTCATTTTGTTTTTTTCCTTTCATACTTGAAATTTTGATCCCTAGCCCCTTTCAATATTAAAAATGATATTCTAAATAAGTGTACCTTTTGTCTTTTTGGACTAAAAAATTGAGGAAAAAAATATGAATGTTTGGGTTAACTTTTTGCCTTTTTATGGAAAAATGTGTATTAAAAAATTGTAAAAATTGGTTTGTAGGGGAAAATTAGGATTGGAAGTTGTCCAGCCGTAATTGTTGACTTTTGGTGAATAGTATTAACTTTTTAACTTTTTGAGTAACTTTTTGACTATTTCTTATCTTCCTAAACTTGGCCTAAATGTCCGTCATACATGTAATTTGGTTAATAAAATTTGCAATCAAATATGGGATTGAGTCCATGGACTAACAATCTCAATTCTACACTATAATCCCACTAATCAAACATAACCTTTATTCCAAGATTTTGGGATAGGTGAACCGTGAGCCTTTTAACCATTACAACAAATTACACTTTTAGCGATTAAATTTTTAGTCACCAAAATTCAATTTTTTAGTGGCCAAAGATTTTTACCGACTAAAATTTTTCGTCACCCGTTTGGTCGTTGACTAATTGTCAGCAAAAGAATTGGCGACTAATTTTTTTTAGTCGCCGAAAGTCACCAATTGGCAACTAAATTATATTTAGGCGTCAAAAAGAAAATATTTTTCATCTTCAGTTTTTTAGTTATCAATTTTTTAGTAGCTAAAAACGTGTTACTCCTTTTTTACTACCAATTTTTTAGTTGCTAAAATTATGGTGCTCCTTTTTAGCTGCTAATTTTTTAGTCGCAAAAAACTTTCATTCTTTTTTTCTACTAACTGTTTAGTAGCCAACAAGTTCTCTTTTTATTTTTTGGCTACTAAATGTTTAGTCGCCAAAAGCTCTATTTATTAATTTTTTTAAAATGCACAAATTGAATATTTTTCATTAATTTCTAAATTATATGCATTTCATTATCAATGCAACCTGTAACCTATACATATACAGAATAGTACATCTATCAATTATAATCTAAATCCATTATCAATAATACCCATTTCATTATCAACTATGCAAAAACTTTAACTTGTAACATCATATTCCAAATATCATACAAAACCATACCAACCAAGTATAATCTATCTAAATTAAATATTACATACAAAAACACTGAATTTCCAAAACAGAGGATTGCACAAAAATAAATCTCATCCATATACAGAACAAATGCTCTTCCAAGGATTTGAAATTATTTTGCTGTAAGTATGCCCAAGCCAAGTTCCCCAATAACCTGTTCTTCCAAAAATAGTCTTCACTATAATGTTGAAGCATTTCAATCTGTTCTTCAATCCTACCAGATCTCTGCAATAACATGAAAATGTATACTCAAAGATTTGTTTTGATCACCAAGTAATAAAGAGAGTATTCAGCATGTCAAACTATAACTATTAGGCTAAATGGGAAAGAGAAAACAGAGGAGGGGGAAGTTTTTTTATTAGGATCATTGTAGAACTAAAACCCCTTACCATGAAGATTAAAGAAACTACTAAAACGTCATTTTAAATTCATCACGACAAAAGTTGCATTTCCAAATGCTATGAAAATCACACGAGTCATCCATACACAAAAGTTGCATTTCCAAATTCTCCTAATTGTTACTAACAAAATTCACATCAGATCAACAGCTATATCTATGGTGATAAAGAAGGTCAGATTTGAAGAAATGTGCGTACCTTGTAGAGTTCAACTAGCACGTTGTCAAGAGATTCCTGAGATTCAAGGGAGCATAGATAGCGGAAAGATGGAAAATTAAGCTTCCATTTATCATTTTCAGAAAAAATGCATAAAATTCAAACAATATCAATGCCCAGATCTTTAACCCACAATAGTAATCAAGGTTTGGCTTAAAGCCATTCTCCTATAAAACTGATCTTTTACCCACCATTTATTCATTTATCATATAAAATTAACCAAATTTATATTGGTTCAGAATGGGAAGAATTTATTAATCCACCCATGCTATGGAAAGTGTTAGCAGGTATTTTAATATTATAATGTGTCATAGGTTGTTTCTCTTTTCTTTTCTACCTAGTTTGCTCCCCATTCTAGTTTCCAAGACTTCCTAAACAAGTCTTTCTAGTCTTCTCCAAGTCTTCCCTTTCCTGTCCATTCCAAGACTTCCAAGGTAAGCCATCCAAGGTCTTGGTCAAGTCCACCAATTCTTATCCATCAAGAACCTTGCCTAAGAAGTTTTCATTTCTATATATATATTGAACTTATGTCATATCTAAAAACATACGAGAGAAGAAGTTTTGGTTGTGTTGTTATGTCTTGAGTAAGATTGTCAGGCAAATAAAAATGGTGTGTGTGATAAAGCTTTGGGTTCAACCAATTGTGCAGTATTGGTGAACCATACGACTTAGTCGGGCTGTTGTATCCTGAGGGGGACAAGTCAAGGTTTTTTCTGCTGCACCGGTGTGAGGCTTTGCCTAATCGCAGAGGGCTTGAATCTCCTTAAAGAGAGCGAATTTCCCGCGCCTTAGCCCTTTCAATAATTATTGTAATTTCTATTTTCTAGTGTTTTATTTGTAGTTATCACCAACAATTTTAAGGAGATTCAACTAGCAAAAGTTCATGGAGCCAATACTGGAGAAGCCCAACGAGAATACCGGCGATCTCAACAAGCCCTTCCGATTCAAGGGAGCTCAGTTCAAGAGATGGAAAGGCAAGGTGCTTTTCTATCTTAATCTCCTCAAGGTGGCGTATATCCTGACTGAGAAAAATCTAAACAAAGTCCCCACTGAAGAGATTACCGACGAGGAGTATGCTGCTCATCTTGAAAAAATCAAAAAATACAACACATATGAGTATAAATGTCGATACTATCTTTTGAATTGTCTTTCAGATCAATTTTATGATTATTATGATACTACTTACACCACTGCCAAGAAAATTTGGAAAGCCTTGCAGAACAAATATGACACTGAAGAGGCAGGCGCTAAAAAATATGTTGCAAGCTGTTTTTTCCGCTATCAGATTATAGATGGAAAATCAGTGGTAGAGCAAGTTCAAGATTTTCAGATGCTAGTAGCTGAAGTTAGATCTGAATGCATCAAAATTAGAGACAATCCTGTTGTAGCAGGTATTGTTGACAAACTTCCATCATCTTGGAGGGAGTTCCAGAAGTCGATGCGTCACAAGCAAAAAAAGACGTCCTTGGAGACTCTAATCACACGGATTCGGGTGGAGGAGGAAGCACGAGGACAAGATGCGCTTATGACACAAGAGCATTCCACTGCAAAGGTAAATTTAACTTCTGGAAATACTTTACCTAAAGGTCGATTTCATAAAAATAGTCACTTGCAGCCAGTTAAGAAAATTTGGAAAAATACTGGAAGGCCACAAAATAAAAATTACCCGAGGCAAAAGAAATAGAACCAAGAACCCCCTTCACAAGATCTGACAAATGTGACATGTTTTGTGTGTGGCAAAAGTGGGCATATTGCTCGAACTTGCAAATTTCGAAAACAGCAGTCTCGACCACAAGCTAATGTTACCGAGGAACCATTTGTGGCTATAATCACAGATATTTTTATGGTTCAATCTGTGGAAGGATGGTGGGCAGACTCTGGTGCCAATAAGCATGTCTGCTATGATAAAGATTGATTCAAAGATTTCACTCCTTTTAATGAGGAGATGACTGTTATGCTTGGAGACTCAAGTTTAACCAAGGTGCTCGGGTGTGGGGATGTTGAGCTGAATTTTACCTCTGGACGTGTGCTTGTTTTAAAAGATGTGTTGTACACACCGTCCATGAGGGAAAATTTGATGTCAAGTTATTTGCTCAACAAAGCTGGTTTCAAGCAGACTATTGAATCTGACCAATATGTAATCACTAAAAAAGGCATATTTGTGGGAAAAGGGTATGCCTGTGATGGAATGTTTAAATTAAATATTGAGAATAAGAAAACACATGTTTCTATTTACATGATGTCTTCTTTAAATTTTTGGCATGCTCGTCTGTGTCATATTAATAGCCGATACGTGGGAGTCATGAGTAGTTTAAGATTAATTCCCAGACTAACAAACAAGTTTGAGAAATGTGAAGTTTGCAGTCAAACAAAAATAACTAAAAGGCCTCATAAAAGTGTGGAGAGAAATACTGAATTGTTAGAATTAATTCACACTAATTTATGTGAATTTGAAGGAATTTTAACATGTGGTGGAAATAGATATTTTATCACTTTTATTAATGATTTTTCAAAATACACTTATGTATACTTGTTGAAAAATAAAAGTGATGCTTTTGAAAAATTTAAAGAATTCCTTCTTGAAGTTGAAAATCAATTCGGTAAAAAGATTAAAAGATATAGAAGTGATAGAGGCCGGGAGTATGAATCTTTTGGATTCAACTCATTTGCTCAGTCTTTAGGAATAATCCATGAAACTACTCCACCATATTCACCTGCTTCTAATGGTGTAGCAGAAAGGAAAAATAGAACTTTAATGGATTTAACAAATGCTATGCTAATTGAAGCAAGTGCTCCTTCAAATTTGTGGGGAGAAGCAATTTTAACTGCATGTTATGTTATGAATAGAGTGCCACATAAAAAAACAAAAGTTACACCTTTTGAGTTGTAGAAAGGGCATAAGCCAAATTTGAGATATTTGAGGATTTGGGATTGTCTAGCTTTTGTTAGACTTGTGGACCCTAAAAGACCTAAATTAGGTGTGAAAGCTGTCACTTGTGCTTTTCTTGGATATGCAACAAATAGTACAACCTATAAATTTTTTGATATTGAAAACAAAATAATTTTTAAATCAGGTGATGCAATTTTTCATGAAGAAAAATTTCCTTTTAAATCTAAAAAAGGTGGGGGTCAAAATTATCAAGAAAATATTTTATCTGAAACTGGTTCCTCTACTCCTCTTTTACAAAACCAAGATCCTATAGGTTTTGAACCTAGAAGGAGTAAAAGAGCCAGAATAGAAAAAGATTTTGGCCCTGATTATCATGTTTTTAATGTGGATGAAACTCCATTAACTTTACAAGAAGATTTGGCATCTCCTGACTCTATTTTTTGGAACGAGACTGTAAATGATGAGATGGAATCATTATTATCCAATAAAACTTGGTTATTAGTAGATTTACCACCAGGTTGTAAAACTATTGGCTGTAAGTGGGTTTTGAAAAAAAAAAACTTAAACCGGATGGAACTATTGATAAATATAAAGCAAGGCTTGTTGCAAAAGGTTTTAAACAACAAGTAGATCTTGACTTTTTTGATACATTCTCTCCGGTTACTAGAGTTACATCCATTAGATTATTAATTGCAGTGGCCGCAATTCATGATTTAAAAATTCATCAAATGGATGTTAAAGCAACCTTTTTAAATGGAGACCTGGGTGAAGAAATCTATATGGATCAACTTGAGGGTTTTGTGGAACCTGATCAAGAAAGCAAAGTGTGCAAGCTAGTTAAATCACTATATGGCTTAAAACAGGCCCCTAAACAGTGGCATGAGAAATTTGATTCATGTATGATTGAGAATGGCTATAAAACGAATGAATGTGATAAATGCATCTACTATAAATCTGAAGAAAATTCACATGTCATTATTAGCCTCTATGTGGATGATTTACTTATATTTGGCTCTAATTTGCATATCATCGTGGAAACTAAAAATATGCTTAGTAGCCATTTTGATATGAAAGATCTTGGTGAGGCTAATTATATTCTGGGAATGAAAATTACCAAAAGCTGTGATGGTATATTTCTTGATCAGTCACATTATGTTGAGAAAATTTTGAGAAAATATAATTTTTGTAACTACAAGCATGTTCTTACTCCTTTTGATCCTCATGTGCATTTATTTCCTATTGAAAATGATGAGGTTGTAATTAATCAAAAGGAATATGTTAGTATGATTGGTAGCTTGCGTTATGCGACTGACTGTACTAGACCTGACATTGCATATGCAGTTGGAGTACTTAGCAGGTTTACGAGCAAGCCTAGCAGTGATCACTGGCTAGCCATTGAGCGTATTATGAAATATTTATCTGGTACCATAAAATATGGCTTGTTTTATAATAAGTATCCTGCAGTACTTGAAGGTTACAGTGATGCCGATTGGAATACCTTGTCAGGTGATTCATTATCAACCACTGGTCACTTATTTACATTTGGAGGTGGTGCTATAAGTTGGAAATCGAAAAAACAAACCATTATTGCTAATTCAACAATGGAGGCTGAGCTTATTGCTTTAGCTATAGCTAGTGAATAAGCAAATTGGTTAAGAGATTTGTTAAATGAAATCTCTTGTTGGGAAAAACCGATTCCACCTATATTAATTCATTGTGATAGCACCGCAGCAATTGGTCGAGTTAATAACCGTTATTATAACGGTAAATCCAGACCTATCAGAAGAAAACACAGTACTGTGAGATCTTATACGAATAATGGCATCATAAATGTAGATTATATTAAATCTGGTGATAATCTTGCAGATCCATTAACTAAGGCCTTAGCAAGAGATAGAGTCTGGAATACATCGAGGGGATGGGGTTGAAGCCCATTGCATATAGCAGGAGCCATGTATGAGGATACTCAACCCAGGGACCAGAGATCCTGTAACTGGGTTCAATGAGAAAAACGATCATATGATGGCCGTGAGGAATGCACTAAATTACTTTTTACCCATCCCTATGATGTAAGTGCATTTATCTTGTAACGTTGTAGAGGTTGAGTTATTATTGGCTCTAGAGTAGATATTATTGTTTCACTAATGGAGGTTCAATGTAGAGCACACCTACCATGATGCATAATATCCTTATTTGCCTAATAATCTCAATTTTTGTTACCTATAATATTAAAATAGGTGGGGGACTGTTACCAGGTATTTTAATATTATAATGTGTCATAGGTTGTTTCTCTTTTCTTTTCTACCTAGTTTGCTCCCCATTCTAGTTTCCAAGACTTCCTAAACAAGTCTTTCTAGTCTTCTCCAAGTCTTCCATTTCCTATCCATTCCAAGACTTCCAAGGTAAGCCATCCAAGGTCTTGGTCAAGTCCACCAATTCTTATCCATCAAGAACCTTGCCTAAGAAGTTTTCATTTCTATATATATATATATATATTGAACTTATGTCATATCTAAAAACATACGAGAGAAGAAGTTTTGGTTGCGTTATTATGTCTTGAGTAAGATTGTCAGGCAAGTGAAAAGGGTGTGTGTGATAGAACTTTGGGTTCAACCAGTTGTGCAGTATTGGTGAACCATACGACTTAGTCGAGCTGTTGTATCCTGGGGGGGACAAGTCAAGGTTTTTTTTGCTACACCGGTGTGAGGCTTTGCCTAACTGCAGAGGGCTTGAATCTCCTTAAAGAGAGTGAATTTCCCGCGCCTCAGCCGTTTCAATAATTATTGTAATTTCTATTTTCTAGTGTTTTATTTGTAGTTATCACCAACAGAAAGTATGAGAAGAATTTATTAATCCATCCATGCTATCATCAAGACAATGGATTGAAGTGAGAGAAACAAGTAGATATCAGCAAATATCAATAGTCAATCTAATCTATTAATAGTTCCTCTCCGTCTTCCAAAATACTATGAGCTTGATTTCTAAATTTTTGATTTGATTATAAGAACAGCTGATGGCATTCATGAAGTACCATCCGCAATGCAATATTTTCTAAAGGGGTTTCAAAACCTCTTCACTGCAACAAGGATTACCATGTCCAATTTTAGCAATCCGTCACTAGCATTTGAACCCTTGAACTGAGGTGCATGAGGTCATACTCAAGAGCAACAAGCTCAAGGAGGGCTAGTATGGATTAGTATGTCCAAACTGCAATAAATAGGATTGTTCATTCAAATAGGAGTGTTGCTACCTACAGCCAATAAACCACCTACAAGCAAAATAAATAATAAGCCATTATCAACAAAAAAAATTATAGACATGTTTTTTAGTAGAGTACCAATTATTTTACACAAAATGACTATTAATATTGATTCTTTAAAATCCTTCACACTCTAGAAACCAATTTCCCAACAGGAAAGAGATAAAAAAGAAGGAAAAGAGAAGAAAAATTGGTGTCAAGTTTTTCAGTATTTACACCACAGGAGCATTTTTACTTTTCTTGTTAATTATTATCATGTGCAGTGATAAATGCTGGTTCAATTTTTAACCAATATGTAGTACTGTAATTTTCCAGTTTTCAACTAACTATGATTCTTGCAAACAAGAAGTTATTGTGACTTCCTCTGTTTTGGCATGTGTGATAATAAAGGTTTTCTCCTTCATCTTTTGTTTTGCACTCCGTCTTTGTTTTTGATCTGATGTACATTGAAGGAAATATATTTTTCATGAGCTTACAGGTTATTTTTGCTCTTATACTCATTGAAAGAGACGGTGGTTTGAGGAGACTATTCAAGGAGTGGACTTTAGTTGGTTCATTGATTACATCAGGATTGCCAACAGCTATTTATGCGCTGCAAAACAGTCTGCTGCAGATTTCATACAAAAATCTTGATTCCCTCACATTCTCAATGCCGAACCAGACAAAACTCTTTTTCACTACTCTGTTTACATATATAATACTGAGGTATGTTTTTCTAGATCTTCAACTTGAAGGCGAGTGGGTTAGTCTATTGGCTAAGATTTTTGCTATGTCAATAAATAATAATTTTTTTGTTGATAATGGCTTATCAATTTGAAAACCTGTCTGAAAAAATAATATGAGTAGCAACACTCCTATCAACAAAAATTATAGACAAGTTTTTCAGTAGATTGTTACCTTCATCTGCCACTAGTTCAACATGGTTTTCATTATCAATCACTGCAAAGGAGACATTCCCCAACCACAAAACTGTAGTGAGCATTTTAAATACACTTTCTTGATCCTCTTTGCTAACATGAACAATATCCAGAGCTTCCCGAAGAGTGAAAAAGGACACAATGACGTTCATATATAAATCAACCCCTATTTCTAAACTTGAAGGGGAAAGGGAAAAATAAGACTCTAAAAGCATTGATGGTGATGACTGTGCTCATAATAATAAGAACAAGGACAAGAAGAAAATACCATTACAATGCATAACTGTCAAGCATCATCGACCCCAAAAATTGAATAGCAATTGCTTTGCCTCAAGTATTTATATTCATTTTCACTTTTCAAATGCAACTTCTCTGTGTTACAAAGCAACAAAAAAGCATAATAAATACATAAAAAACAAAAACCGGGAAAAGGTGTAACATAGAGTATAATATAGAGGTTGAAAAACTAGGCTAGCATGTGACCTTGTTATACACATATGCACAAATCTGGCACAAATCTGACACAAACTAGGATATATCAGAGATTACAAATGCACAAATCTGCATTCGTAACACGTTGGAAAATTGGTTTTTATAGGTTTATTTTGGACCAATTTTGAGTCCAAATTTGAGTGGGGTCCACATATCTTTTGAGGTGGGTCCAAAGAGGTGACATGTTCCTTACTGCATAGCAAGTCACACATTGAAGACGGTTCGTCAAAACCATTTATGAGTGAATTGGAATTTGACGCCGTTTTCAGGTTCATGAAATGGACATTTAAAGAATTAAATGTGGGTTTCCTTGTAAGGCTAGTCCTATATTGGAAACTTAAGAGAACTTATGTATGTATATAAGTTCTAAGTGGTAACACTTGGGTTGGGCCCCGAGTTTGTAGAAGGGAGGAGCTATGGACAAAGTGAACATTGGCTTAAACCACCACACACACACACACCGCTGCTGTCGTCCGGCCGAGCTGAGCCGTGCTGAGCGCGGGTTGTGGGTCGGGTCAGTTCTAACATTAATTTTTTAGACAAAATTTATTTGAATTTTTCCAAATTCTTATAGGAAATTATTTGAATTTCAAATTGAAATTAATTCAAATTTTTTGTCCAATATTTGTGCCTCTTTTGAATTCCACAATAGATTCAATTTTTCGGACAGATTCAAACTGCCAGATAGATTCAAAACGTCCCAGACAGGTTTTTAACTGCTACAATTTCCAATAGATTTAACTACCCAGCAGTTATCTGTTCGAAACAGCGTTGTATCTGTTTAGTTTAATTTTGCATTTGTTCATTCAAATAACTCACCTGTTCGGGTCTGTCAAAATTTGCCTATAAATACTAGCCATTTCCAGCAGTCTTACAGATCTGAAAACATCCTGCAAAACTCCAGAAAAAATTGGTTCCCTCTTGGTTTTGCTTATTTGCATAAATTCTCTTCATATTAGTTTTTGTTTTAAAATAAAATTCAGAGAGTTAAAAACACAGGTTTTGTTAGCCGTACAAATTGTTTGGAATGCTACTACAATTTGTGAAGATCATTGTATCCTGGGAGATAGACGCCTTATATCCATAGGCACTGTAGCGGGGCGAATCTGTCTTAAGGACAGAATGTCACACACTGAACTTGATCTTTTAAAGTTTTGTTTAGTTTGGTAAAATAAATTATGTGAGTGATTTATTTTTATTTATTCAATTTGGTTTCAAAATATTTATCTTACACAGAAGATTGTTTAAACAATCTTAAGACAGATTCGAATTATTCTGTTTACATAATTTTTCGTTTGTTTCCTTTTCTCTTTCTTCTTCTTACAGAAATTATTTTTTGTAGTTTTACAAAATAATATTCTGGTTGGAAAAACAAATAGTTGCAATATACTGTTTAGCAGATAGTAACAATATACTGTCTATTTTCTTTAACAACTAGTAGTAATATACTGGTGTCATTAACAATTCAGAATATTTATTTGTGAAGTTTATTAGAAATTAATTTTAGTTTTCAAAAATAATTCCTGAGTATTCATTAATTAAAATTCTATTTTTATTATTTTAATTATTGTAGTGTTACAAAAAAATTAATTTTCTGTGTAGAATTAATTTGTTTAAATAAAATTTTATCTTTTTTCAAATTAATTGGAAATAAAAGTTACATATCTTGTTTCTTTTATTTTTACAGAATTTAATTATGTGGTTTTGGTTTATTTTTTGTGTAGTATAAAAATTCTAATTCTAATTTTGTTTTATAATTTAGAATTCATGGTTACAGAAACTGGTCAAACTAATGTTCAAACCAGTATTGGTATGGTGGCTGCAATTGCGTCAACCCCTCCTTATGTTGGGATTGTGCCAATGAATCATGGTAAAAAGCCAGAGGAGTTCTTAGGAACTGATTTTTGCAAAGGTAAAGGAAGATCAAGCAAGAAGGTTGCTGCAAGCCAATATGACCAAAGTGGATAAAATTGCCAATAGTGTAGATGTCATAAATGTTTCTGCAGTTGTTTCTGAGGCAAACCTTGTCGGAAATCCTACAGAATGGTAGGTCGACACTGGTGTTACTCAACATATCTATGTTGACAAAAAGATGTTCACATCTTATTCTATAATGGACAACGGTGAACAATTTTTTATAGGCAATTACTCGACTTCTAAAGTTGAAGGACAAGGAAAGATTATTTTGAAGATAACATCTGGAAAGGAACTCACTCTCAACAATGTGCAGCATGTACTGGACATTCGCAAGAACCTTGTTTCCGGATCTTTGTTGAGTAAAAATGGGTTTAGACTAGTCTTTCAAAGTGACAAATTTGTATTTACCAAAAACGGAATGTATGTAGAAAAAGGTTACATGTCTGATGGCCTTTTCAAAATGAATGTAATGACTGTTGTACCCTCTGTTATTAATAAAAATACATATTCTTCCTACTTGCTTGAGTCTTCAAATTTATGGCATGGTAGATTTGGATATGTTAATTATGGATCTTTGCGTAGACAAATTAATATAGAATGTTTACCTAAATTTGACATTGATTTAAATCATAAATGTGAAATTTGTGTTGAGACAAAATTATCTAAAACTCATTTTCATACAATTGAAAGAAATATGGAACCACTTGAATTAATTCATAGTGACATTTGTGATTTTAAATCAATTCAAACTAGAGGTGGAAAAAAGTATTTTATCACTTTTATAAATGACTATATTAGATATAATTATGTTTATTTAATTCGAACCAAGGATGAAACTTTGGAAACTTTCATTCAATATAAGAATGAAGTTAAAAATCAATTTGGTAAGAAAATTAAGAAACTTAGAAGTGATAGAATATAAATCACCTTTTGGTGAATTTTGTAAAATACATGGAATAATTCATCAAACCACTGCTCCTTACTCACCTCAGCAAAATGGAATTGTTGAAAGGAAAAATAGGACTTTAAATGAAATGATGAATGCCATGTTAATAAGTTCTGCATTACCTCAAAACTTGTGGGGGGAAGCAATGTTTTCTGCTAATTATGTACTTAATAAAGTATCCTGAAAGAAAATGAATCAAATACCTTATGAAATGTGGCATGGGAAAGTACCATCCTACAAATTCTTAAAAGTGTGGGTGTGTTTGGCTAAAGTGGCTATTTCTAGTCCTAAAAAGAATAAGATAGGTCCTAAAACTGTTAATTGCATTCTTATTGGTTATACCATGAATAGTAATGCATATCGATTTTTGATTCATAAGTCAGAACATTCCCAAATGCATGTAAATACTATTATTGAATCTCAGAATGTGTCTTTCTTTGAACATGTGTTTCCAAATAAAGCTAGACGAGAGACTAGTATTAATAAAGATCTTATGATGCTATTACTAGTCATGATCAAGAACAAGATCAAGAACAAGACCAAGAGATAAATCAAAATGAGGAAGAGGAACATAGGCGTAGTAAACGTGCTAGAACCTTAAAATTTTTTGGTCCAGATTTTCTAACATTTTTGTTAGAAAATGAGCCCTTAACTTTTAAAGAGGCTATGTACAGTCCTGAGGCTCCTTTATGGAAAGAAGCTGTAAACAGCGAAGTTGAATCTATCCTGCAAAATCACACTAGGGAATTGGTGAATTTGCCACCAGGTTGTAAACCTCTTGGGTGCAAGTGGATTTTCAAAAGAAAAATGAAAGCAGATGGATCAATTGACAAATACAAGGCAAGACTTTTAGACAAAAAGAAGGTCTTGATTACTTTGACACATACTCACCAGTTACTAGAATAACATCCATTATAATGCTAATTGCTATTGCATCTTTGTACAATCTAGAAATTCATCAAATGGATATGAAAATCGCTTTCTTAAATGGTGAGTTAGATGAAGAAATTTACATGGAACAACTAGAATGATTTTCTGTTCCCGGAAAAGAAAAGAAAGTGTGTAAATTGGTTAAATCATTATATGGTTTAAAACAGGCGCCAAAGCAATGGCATAAGAAATTTGACAAGGCAATGATGTCAAATGGATTTAAAATTAATGAGTGTGACAAATGTGTTTATATTAAAAACACAAACAAATGTTATGTCACTGTATGTTTTTATATAGATGATATGTTCATGATAGGTAGTAATAATGATATGATTAAAACTACCAAGAAAATGCTGAATAAACATTTTGACATAAAGGACATAGGAATTGCTGATGTAATACTTGGTATGAAAATTACCAAAATATCAGAAGGTTATGCTTTGTCACAATCGCATTATATTGAGAAAATACTTCACAAATTTAGCAAAGATGATGATCATCTTGCTAGAACACCTGTGGATGTTAATTTGTTTCTTTCTAAGAATGTACAGGAAAGTATTTCTCAATTAGAGTATACCCAAATAATTGGAAGCTTAATGTACTTGATGAACTACACTTGCCCAGATATAGCCTATGCAGTAAGTAAATTAAGTAGATATACGAGTAATCCAGAAGTAGAACACTAGAAAGAAATTATAAGGGTTCTAAGATATCTCTGATTTACTCGTAACATTAGACTTAATTATACTAGATATCCAGCAGTACTT